GAGAGCTCAGAATTGGCCATATTCTGCTGCAGTTCTGTAACAGAAAATTTAACATCGCAGATTAGATATGATAATTAATGGATTGACGGGAAAAAAAATACGTATAGATTTAAGCATATTAATCTTTTGCGATCGTTATAATTTTACGATTTTTCTTCGACAACTACACAGTAAGAAATTTTGTGTTAAAAACAATCCACTGAAATTTTTGTTATCTTGTTTGTGTTATTTTACACAAGATAAATTTATTAACGCTTCTGGTCCCTCGTTGCAACTTTCCTTATCTGATGAGCGTCAAAAGCGAGAAAACACATGCCAAGAATTCTTACGTTATACGTTCAAATAAAACAATATTCCCACAAAATGACACCTGTGATCGATTCAACACACTTATAAAATTGCCCGAGCACTTTTCTTTTATTCGAACAATCAATAAATAGTCGCAAAATTAACTTTAACTGGAGCGTATTTTCAGATCTAAAAGAATATCAATACCAATCGGATGCAAGAAGTCACTAGGCTACTGTTGTTACCAAACCGGATTAACGTAAACATAGTCTTTATTCCCGAGACCACGTGACTCCCAATCGACGAGACACGCCCGAGGGCACCGTTATTTATTCATTAATTTAACGGTATCGTAACATTAATATTATGCGTTATTTTAGACCAACTGAAATACATTCAAACCGTAAAATTGCATATTCCTCGTGACTACTCGCATCGAGATAGTCAATCGGCAAAGCAGTGAGACACTAATTCCCCTAATAGCCTAGAAAACCGTTGGGAGCTTTACAAAAATATTTCACGCCTGGAACAAGCGGATATGTTTTGCCTTTAGATACTTCACATGATAAGACACGGTTACCTGTGTGATTTCATACTCCAAGTAGAGAAACCGACAAGAACCATTTGTACGAATGTGGTTGACGCGGCTCCGAGGCGCGCGCGCTCGCGCGACACCTGGAAAAAAGATATTAATTAAAGCTTTGCGCCAAGCGTGCCGACGCGCGTAACTATATCCCACATGCCGCGTTCGCTCGCTCGCTCGCGTGAGAGCAGTCGGCGCAGCTTGGAAAAAAGGTATCCCTCGGTATTATCCTCGCGAACGAGAAGGCGCATCCCTTACCGTCGATGCGCGTCGTACGCTGTCAACGCCGGCTGTAAATATCAATAAACAAACCGCCGTGCCGGCGAGCGCGGTCTGCTCGCCCGGCTCGCCGACTAACCGGCCGGCCGGGCGAAATAAAGCACGTCGGGACCGGGTTTTAGCGCTGCTGGCCTTTGTCGGGCGCCATCTCTTACTCGATGCAACCGCGGTCGGGTTTTTCAGCGAGCAATTAGAAAGAGATTTATTTGTGCCGGCACGCTGGACGCACGCTCGCAGACCAGAGGCTGGAAGGAAGTTCATGCTGATGCCTCTTGCCGCAGTATATTTTTCGGGATGATGTGTACCGCTTACGTACAGGGTGTCCCGGAATCTCAACAGCGGATTTGCCCACGGGTCAATCGTTCTTCTCGTGTGAATATTCCGAGAAGACGGGCATCAGCCGCGAATCCGTCCGTTCCCGGCGTTATCCTTGCAGCTGATCTTCAAATTGCAAATTTGTCAAACTTTATTAGAATATTTCACTTGAGGGAATGCCGGTGCGAAACTCATCGGAATTATCGATACCGAAGACGTTGTTAAAGCCAAAGACGTGGATTCTGGGCACCTTGTATATTTCATAGATGTGTGAGTTTGTGTCGGTCAGAAGTAGCCATTCGTGAAACAATGTCGCGAGTACATTGTATTTCTTTCGGTAGCTCGTGCCGTGTTTTTAATGAAGAGGCCACTGCCGAGCGTGACGACGCGTGTTCGGCAAAACTGGAACTGTAGTTTATTGCTGATTTCCTCTCGTGCTCATGTATAATGCAAAAGTGTCGTGCTGTACCTACCGATTAGACCCGCACCGATTTTTAATTTGTCCTGGACAACACCACTGCCGAATTCCAGACGACGAAAACAGACGATAAGTGAAATCTGAATCGGCATGATAAAATCTCTATTATTATGCACGCGTTCTTTTTGCTGTTATTATTAGTTAAACATTTTTTTATTCTTCTTTCGATGCAAACAACTTCGTGCAAATATTTATTCATATTTTCACATTTCAGCAGCAAACTTGGATTCGTTTATTTTAACGCATGCATAAGCTATATTGCGTAACTCGAAAGATATAAATAATTTTCCTATCATTGTCCTTTCTGTGCATCCACTTGACAATCAACTATGTCGAACCATCGTAAATAATCGAAGACAAACGTTTAGTAAGAATCCACATCACTCATCTTATCAACTCGCAATTCCTTTATTACGCAACAGCCTTTAAAACAACATGCGCGTATATATATATATATATATATTCTCATGTCGTCGACTTTTTACGCTTCGGACGTCAATCAAAAAAGTAGACGGTTACTTTAATTAACTAAGTCAGTTCCTTCATCTGAGAGGGGAGATGCCGAGAGATGGAAAGGGAGGGGGGAGGGGAGGAGGTGGTTGGAAGCGCACTGAGAAGCAGCGCAGCATCATATAGAAACGAGTTTATTAAAAGTAAAGAACAGGCTCACCTAATTCCAAAAAACGTGCTTACGCAGCATTCCCTTAAGTTTTCTGCGGAAAACTGCTCTTAGTAGTTTAACCAGTTATACCGACAACGTACGCTCGAAGATTGATCGGGTAAATATCATTTTAATTAAATGCGAATAATCAAGAAAAAAGGAATATTTAATCATTCCTTTTTGTCCATGTTGATTTCCGCGACGCAGGTAGAACTTCTTTGTTGTCCACTTGATAATTAATAGGCAACCGCATACGTTGCACGTATACGGCGGTATGATTTATGTTATAATTTACATTCTTACACTGCACGCGGATGTATTGTTCGACGGGGCCCGGAGTTACCGTGAAAGCAAGGTAATCTTTAATTATGAAAAAATATTCCTTGTGGCGCTGGTGAATAGAGGCGGGTATTCGCTATCGTCATCTTGCGTTTCATTCGCGGCGCTTGATCGACGTGGCGATGGAGTATCGAGTCTGATCAAGTCCGATCGAGTATAGGCCCGGGTTGCCTATAATTCATAAGCTCGTTAAAAAGTCATTAAGTGCTGTGTACTATTAATAAAAGGTATTTCTCTCTGTTTTTGGCCAAGTCATTCCGGCACAGCCGGAACCATCTTCACATCGCATTGGAGAATGACGGGAATCACGAATATGTCAGGACTAGGCGCGTGAGCACATATGCGGAGATACTAAAAATAATCGATCAAACCTCTAGAGAGAGAGTAATCTTTAATTTGAGAAAATTTGTTCCCACTATTGAGCAATCTGCTGTGAAGTACTCTCTCTCTCTCTCTCTCTCTCTCTTTCTGTTAATGCACATCACTGAACTTCTCGACGTTCTCAGTAATAACGAAAGAGAAAGATCGCCATATATTGACGAATCCAGACAAAGTTGAGCGAAATTAAAGGAAATGAAATATAACGCTTATCATTTAACGAAAGAAAGATATCAGTCCGTCGGGATAGGGTCGAGTATAGAAAGGAGTCTTGAACAGTGGGATTTATTTCGCGGTGAAACAACTCCGGCGGTATGCACGTCCAAACATATGGCTTCGGTTCGGGCTGTCGTGCGAAACGCGAATGTACCTCGCGTAATTCCTATATGCGTATACACTTAGCTCCGCGAGGCAAGGTTACGTAAGATTGAGCAGCGCGTCACGTGCACGCGCGTGCATGTGTATGCGATACGGAGACAAAAAATACCGCATGTGCAATCCTAGCGGTCGCGCACGCGCACCGGTATCCGCGCCACAGGACTACGAAGCCGCTGCGGTTCTATGCATCGCACAGGAGAGGCAAAAGAAACGGCGATTACGAAACGACGAACGTTCTTTTTGTTTTTTTACCTCCGTCTTTGCCGCCGAGCCTAACCCGGCAGTGTGGAGCGATGATGCGAGGCATCAGATTAGATTGAAGCATACCTGCGCATCGTAGTTGCGAAGCATATTTCTATCCGCGACTGGATCGATAGATGGTTGTTGTATCATATCTCGGCGAGACCTGTCGCGGTTCCGCCCATAGTAATATTTAAAAATGACCCGGTTCAAGTATATTTAAAGAAACGATACGAATAAATGCGATAATTATTATGTCATTTATATAGTAGGTTAGATAAAACATTAAGACGTTCTAAGATGTCGTAAAGATGTCTTTTAGATAATAAAACGTCTAATAAACGTCTAATAATCGTCTTTGAGACATCTTTTAGATATACGCGTCGTTTAAGGATTTGTAATGTACCAGCGCTGTAAACTTTGCGATTAATCAAACATACGTATAATCAAACATAATATTGAAAATATGAGGAGCGAGATAATCCATGTAAAATATAAATTGGAAGCCAATAAAGTATTTTATGGTGCTTATGACCATTTTATGACTTATTGATCGTTTAATTCTACGAATATTTAAATTTTGGAGTCCAAGTACGAGTTTATCAATTAATTATCGCTATGGAAATGTATGTACGATGACGGTCTTAAGAAAATAAGACGATAAGAAATCTTGAATACTTATGAAAATACAAATATAACGAATATTAATGTGCATAAATATTCAACATTGCAAGCATAACGAGCTCTCCTCCCTTCCTGCCTTCCTGTCTATCCCCTCTTTCCTCTATCCTCTTATATTTATTCATAATATTTTTTCACCAAGGAGAATTCCTTCTCCACTTTTCTTATCCCTCTAATATCTTTGAAAAGTTGGCGAAAGTTACCTTCACTGTAAGACAGGAGAGACGATGGTGCGTCAATTATGATATTGCCACTTACATATCTGTTATTACTATTAGTGAAACTGCAGACATTGTCAGAAAAGTGTAGGATGTAAGGCAATTACTCTGACTCCCACACCCACGAACATACGTCTCAAACGTCGTGTTTTCTCGTTACAGGTGAAGATCTGGTTTCAAAATAGGAGGAGTAAATACAAGAAGATGATGAAAGCGGCGCAGCAGGGCGGAGGTGGCGGCGGTGGGCAACACGGCAGCCTTTTAGCAGGTGGGACTGCTCTACCTGGCGGACCATCCCCTCAGCCCGGGCAACCCGGAAGTCTCATGCAAGGAGGTGAGTCCATCGTCACTGTACGGGTCAAATGCGCAGGTGAATTAAATCCGAGAGACAGTTCAAAATCTCTCTTGAGACATGATTACCCAGTGTGTCTCTCGGGAGACCGCGTTTATAGAGGCTTCTGAAAACGTTGACCGATCGATCGAATCGTTCTCACGATCGACTGGTCTATTTTCATCCGCCCGATCGGACGGTCATTTTTAATCGAGCGAATGTCTACGGGCGTTAATTGAATGTCACCGGCGAACGGCGCGTGATGATTGCTTGGTTGACGGGGGCCACTCCATCACTTACCGCATCACCGTAGCAATCTCCGCAATCGCCGTTTCGCACTGTAATTACAATACTAATGATCCGATGCAATTTTCGCGGGCCGTATTTTCCATCTCGCGGATACTCCGCCACCGCCCGTGTCGGCTGTCGCCGACGACCGCGCCGCTGCTCTCTTTCGCGATCTCTTTCTGCGGCTAACGGTAATCTACAATCTGCCATGTGAGTTATTTCTTCGGAAATGCACACCGCGAAAGACGCAACCGACATAATTGACTTCTTGAGAAATTTCTCGCGCTTGCCATGCTCGGCGTGTAATAAAATTTATCGTTGCGCCGAGACAGGTCACGATTCAGATCGACAATTTTCACACGTCCCTTCACCGTACACAAACTGATGTACAAAATAAGGCCTTTCACATGATTTTTCTAATATTCTGTCTTCATTTTTTATTAACATTTTTCTAACATTTTGTTCGGACGTTGTCAAAATCGCGAGGCGGACCATGACGAAACACGTTCTTTATAACGCGCGTTAACGCATTTAAAAGCACAAAACTCCCCACCGCGGTCTGCGCTGCAAAAGAGAATAGCGCCAAGGTGAAATACCGAGTTTCGGGAAAGATAAAAATCAGAACACTTCTAAATGGCGGAGTGTCACGGAAGTCTGACGTAGAGTCGGAGATGAACTATATGCGCGCTCCGCGAGCGGAGTTCCCGACTTTAAAGCCAACCAGCCGACACGTCGACGCCGCTGCGGGATCGAATGCCGCGCGATCGTCCTGGAAACTCTTTCCCGTCCCGAAGCAGCCACCACCAGATGCATTAGCGCACAATGCCGCGCGCGGAGAGAGTTCCCCCGCGCGATTAATACAATTTACGACGCCGGTCCCATTCAGGCGTACGCAGCTGCATGTGCAGTAAACGCGCGCGGCTGAATGCGACGGCGACGACGGTAGAGCCGCGGCACACCCGCCGAGATCCGGAGCACTCTGAAACGGTTCTCGGTTCGCGTTGTGTTTCAGGGGGCGGAAGTTCCGTTTCGGGCAGCCCAACGACGGGTTATCTCGGCGGCATGGGCGGCGGGGGTGGCGGTCACACCCCTGGGAGCTCGAGCCCCGGAAGTGAGATGTCGCCTCAGCACAACGAAAGCCCACCAGCACCCTCCTGGCCGGGCGAGATGAAGCACCATCCGCATCCTCACGCGCCACCCCACACCCATCATCATCCGCATACGCCTGGACATCATCCACCACCACCGCCACCGCCGCCGCATCACGCGGGTTACATGCCGCAGTATTCCTGGTACCAGGCGGATCCCAATCCCGGACTACTCACGTAAGTACCGAATCTGCACGGAAATGGCTCTCACGTTGGAAATTAGAGAAAGGATGAGAGAGAGAGAGAGAGAGAGAGAGGTTATTGCGGAACTGATGAGAGCTCTGGTAGAAATGTATCTAGTCGTCCTGAGTCAAAAGCTAGTTCGTTCCTGGCTGATCACATCGGTCAACAAATTTCGCATCATAAATTGTATCCTTCTTGAATTTTAATTTTTTCTATTTATGTCTGCGTATTGAGACAAAAAATGATAATAACCAAATTATTTAGTTATAATTGAAGAAATATAATTGAAGAAATATAGATTATATTTTAATTTTTGTAAATTAATAATATGAGAGGCGCATGAAAATAAAACAGCGGAACATATTTTTATTATATATAACTTTTATTTTTTTATGTTTCATATTATCAGAAAAACTGAAATTCTTTTTAAATGTTATGTTATTAAACGTCTTTTAATAGTCTTAAAATAAAGAAATGTTACCACGAAAAAATAGAAATTGTCTTATTTTGATACGAGACAATAAAACGCTCGTCTCATTCGCTCTTACAGGCCTGCTATATATACCACCTCAAATTAGAAAAGTAACAAATATCAAATTCTTTTTCGATTGTTGTTTACTTCATGATACATATTAGAGTCAAGTTTGCTTTTAATTGCTATATTTGCAATCAACACACTACAAAATTAATTAGAATCGACAGTTCGGATCTAGAATATAATTTCTACGTTGACTAATATTATTCATTAAAATTTAGAATCGGTTTTGTGATCTAACTGTTGTCCAGCCATTAGATATCAAATATAATAGAATAAATAGCCTGTCTGTCAAAATAATATAATCTTATCACGAAATACCTGCCGCTGGTATTTGAAAATGCGGAGCAAATCAAAATTGAGGGTACGTTGTTTCATAAAAATCTCAGAAGAAGTATAAGTGAGCGTTACATTACTGTCTGTCGACTAGTTACGACTCGTTGTCTCGTAACTGTAATATCTCTTGTTTAATCATCAGCTAACTCACTTATCTAGACATTATCTAGCCACTGGGAGAAGTGAGCGTTACATTACCGACTAGTAGCGACGTTAGACACAAATTTACCACCTCGCGGCCAGAGGTTCAATTTCCACCAGGGAACTTAACAGTATTTAACTTTTTCTGGAATGAGCTGCGCACGCGGCAGATTGAGATAAATTACGCGCCGTACGAGGAGCGCCTATCGAGGTGTTCGAGTCATTCGTGTGCAGCGGAAGAATAAGTGGCGTTTTTTTTAAATGCCCACAGCTTGAATACAGCTACGTCATTGCAGCGGTCGTGACTTACATCGACCATTGATTCGTGCGCGGAGGAAAATTGAATTGGTATTTCTACGCTTAATCGCGGACATTTTCAATTTGAAATCAAAGTGAGCCGCGTCAATCAGCGCGCCTCAACGTAAACTGGTACTGCCAGTCACGTGTCCCTTTGGGACATGTTGGACACATCTCCTATTCATTGAGAAGCAACGTGACGCGACGAATTTACCACTTCACTTCGCTTCGCCGCAATACTCGCACGGTGATTCCGGAAACGCTTCGGAGCGTTATCGCGCCTGTATCTCTTTAACAATATAATAACTATGAGACTCGACGTGAAGAGTATGTACCGTGGCGCAAAACGCGCGGAATATATTCACGCAGAACGGACAAGTACATTTACCGTCCCGGCCGAATAGATCGCGTGATCCTCCGGAAAAGCAGAATCGCGCGCGCCTCCCCCCTCCCCCCACCGTACGTCGACATTCACTAACCCTGGCGGGCGTTTGTGTGTTTTGCAGGGTATGGCCAGCAGTTTAACGAAGATGTCCATCGAACTGAGTTGAAGTGAACCACCTCTTCGTAGCACCGCGGACATACCAGCGCTCCTACCCCAAAGTGTGAATACGTGTAGCGCCTCTCGCGAGGAAAATTGAATGTTAATATTGTTTCTAATCGTCTCTAACGAAACCCGCGTGCCGGTTTCCGTGCGGGCCGTCCGTCTCGAAGTGAGAGTAGTACGAGAACAGTGCGACGTCGTAATACACGTCCCTTAGCGAAATATTAATGATAATAATACTAACGATGATGCAGCCGCGCGCGAGTGCCGATCCTGGATCGGCAACGATGTGTGTGCTTGTGTGCGTTCTCAATGAAGCGAAGCTGAAAGCTGATCGAAGAGGACCGACGCACTCGAGTGCGCCAGCCAACGTTGGCTATCGACGGGAGCGCCGCCGAAAACCAGAAGTCACGAACGATACGCCCACATCGAGTGACTCTTGACCGATAAGTGACACACGTGGTTTTGGTGCGCGCATCGTTCCGTTGTGCCGCGGGATGTGTGTGTGTGTGTGATTGATCCGTCCTGCGAATCAACGTCGGTTTGGAAGAAGGGAACGACAGCATCGTCACGCCGCATGGTGAAGTAGACGTTGTAAAAAGAAAGGGAAGAAAGTCAAGTGATAGTGACGTCAGGTAATCAGCGGGTCGCGACGCGAGGTTCGGCCGAAAATCGACGACCTGCGATCGTTCGCGACGCGCATTCATTGATGATCCGGCCGTTGGTGATCTTGAAGTTCGATTCACGGAATCGGAGCACACTTGTAGAGCTACGCGTATGATTGAGTGATCGTCACGACTGTAACGCTTTTCGTGTTTGGCAAGTAATCGTTGTCGCGGAAGTAAGAATCGCGCGAGGAATCTTTCTTTCCGGAGGAAATCGAATAAAAACCGGCTCGTCCCTCTGTGTCCGTTCGTGCCGACCGTCGCGATTGCGTGCATCGGATCTAATTTGATTACAACGGTTAATTATAAGCAACGATTGCCTCCGAGTAATTATTTTCATTGTGGAAATGTTGTTGTCCGCCGTTCGTCAAGCGTGGAATTGTGTACCGCGAGTTCACTCGCGCTTCGAGTTAATTGTTAATCAAATGAAATATTACGCAATATGATTATTTTCTAGGAAGGAAATATTGAATTATGTGACGTTGCCATCGCAATTACGTGTTACCAAAAGTAATCCGATCGTCATTATTAGGTGTTAATTGGTTGTATTTGTACGTCAGAAGCCTCAAACCCCTGTAATGAGCTGTGAAAGAAGAAAAGAATATTTTCTCACAAATCTCGATCAATTGCAAACTCGACGTTTCAACGTTTGTGTAATCGAGGTAATTGGTATTATTTTCGGTTGTGCTCGGAAGATTTTCAAAGCGTCAAGTTTGAGACTTCCGATCTACATTGTCGCTGTCATCTTCAGTCGCAATTATCTTTAGAACAAATCGACAAAATCCGATGATCAAGGATTCTCGGGGAGCTATCATGGAACTATTTGCAATTTCGATTGAAAACGCGAGTTTTCGACTAACGAATTTCTGGCCTCGATGTTGCCCGTATCGTAAATCTCTGTTTAAATTGGCCTACCACGGATTAAACGAGCAAGTGGTAGCGATCTTCTGCAATCGTGACACGAGACTAGTCGCTTCCGTTTGATTGAGCTGAAACGGGATAAATATCGACATCTTTCGGTATTTTTCTACGGTATATTCATCGGAAAACATGTCGACGTGAATTCTGATGGCTACGGGTAGAAAAGTGTGAGATATTATCGAGCGCTCTTCGAGCGTCCAACTGCTCATATCACTTCCGGACGTAAAGTTCGAGCCACAGGAATTTTACAGCGGAAGTCATGCGTGTGTATGCGTGTGCAAGAGACACGTACGAATCTTCACGGCAAAACAGTCGGCAAAACGGATCCCGGTCAGAAGTCTCCTCGAATAGTTCCACGTTAACTTCCCCGCTCGGGTAATCTCCATTTAATTACGGATTCTCTCTCGGTTCTACGTCGGTGTTGACGAATAAAGAATTTACTAGTGTGACAAATAAAAAATTATTTTCTGCCCTACTTAGACGAGAGACGAAACATTTAAACTCGCACAACTCCCAACTATTCCCAAACTTAACGTCGCCGACGAGAGAATTAACGAGCGCCAGAGTGCGGCGACGGTAACGGTGCCGGCGAATTTCCCGACGTGAGGGAAACGTAGAAAGTCACTGTCTGAAAATAAGGAAGGGAACGCGAAGAGATCAAGTTTGAGATCACTGGCCTACATCCGGTACTCGTCTGGTAATTGTGCCCCGGACGAACTTAACGAACCCCGGGCGAGCAACGGGACCAGGCCGGGATCCTTTCCAGTGCGGCTCGATCGAGCGATATTTTCGTCACCTTTCCGAACCAGGCCAGTCCGGCACGATCGTGCATCTCTAAAAACCCATTTCCATCTCCTCGCAAATGTCAATTGCCGATGACGGTTAGGCCGGTCGATCCTTTGTGACAGTTACCCAACAACCGCGAGTGCAGCCGGCCTACTTCGTGCGCGGGCTGGATCTCGCGTGATAGACAGAGAGGAACGACAGGATCGGCGAAGTTGCGCGAAACGGTAGACGGGGGGAGGACGGGGGGAGAAAGAGAAACAACGTTGCATAAACTCGTTGAGCAGTCGTTCCTCAAGGCGGTTGGAAGTAATGAAATCCTAATGACATTTTCGTGAGTCAAACGATCTCGGCAATCACGGTGGCTCGCTGTAATCACCGGTCCCTCCTTCCCGGATGAGGCAACCGGCCGGGGGCCTCCTCCGAGGAGGAGAGGAATACGCGAGAGATGAACGGAGGAGCGATAGCTCGAGGGACGAACTGAAGAAAAAAATCATTAGCTCGAGACCGGCGACGCGCGGGACGCTGCCGACGTCTGAGCTCATTAGGAACTTCGGAAATGTAGGGAAAATGTCGCTTGGATTTCGGCACCGATCGGTTCGTCCACATCGTAGTCCCCTTTGTAGCCAACACGCGGCCCCTTTTTAACCGCCATCGATTCTGATGTATTTTATACCGGGCAAATCAACCTCTCCCATCGGACATTTTTGCGTTAAAAATAGTTCCCAAGATATTTATTTATTTATAGACCTTCGCTCTTTTTACCAAAAGCGTAGTTTGGTTAAATATAAATTTCGCGTGGGATATAGCTGATCGTTAATATATAAATAATCTAGACGAAAGCTCGATAAATTAATAATAAATTAAACGGAACACAGGATTTGCCGCCTCTCTGGAATGGTGGCAGCGTCGAGATCTTTTTCTAAATAACGGTCTTCTTTTCCGCCGCTCTGGCGACAATCCAGCGTCACGCTACAAGCTGGTCAAGTTGCGGGTGAGCGAAGCGGTGGACTGTTTTACGCTGTTTCTTCTTTTGCTATTCTCCGTCGGCCATATTGGGTCACCCTTGCCATCTTGCGTCGCGCAATATCTAGCTTTCCAAGAGACGATGCCAAACCGCAAAAACAACGGCTGCGACTTGCGACCGCGGGAAACTGGGAGGGTCGGCGGGCCCCACCGCTGACCCAGATCCACTGTCTCGTCGGTGCAACAATGGTCGTCGTCTCATGAGAACGCGTAGTCCCGCGGGGTCCCTTTCCTTCCTGATTCTGCCTTTTCCTTCGCTCTGATTGATGTTACCGTTCGGCACATGTCGCGACGTACGCTGCTGTCGCGCCAAGCCTCGCTTTCGCACATCCCAACTCGGATCTCCATTACCCAACATCTCTCAAACATACATCATTTCCGTGATGAATCTTCTAATCCGAATTCTCGACATTAAGGCATCCAGAAAGGACAATAAGCAAAACGAGCCGATCTTATCCTCCGAAATGGCAAGTCAAAACGTTACGTTTCGTAGTTCTCGAGCTACCGAATCTGATTCTGACATTTACACGTTTTTAATTTGTCGAGAAAATGTGAAAATCAGCATATGAAACCATTAAACATTTAATACCGTAATTCTGTTCAGCCGTGTTCGGATCAGCCCACGTCCGTGCGCTCTGTACAATAGAACCTTTTTATAGTCACATCCTCAAGACATGTGTGACTATTTATTTTTTCTCAATGCTTTGTTTCTTTCTCTCTTTCTTATATATTCTTCTTCTATGTGTAATATATAGATTTCCGTTCATAACAATATTTCACTATCGGAAATTACAAGATTTACGCAAAAAATATTCTCGAGCATCGAAATCCTTTTTGTCTTCTTCATTTATTAACTTGTGTCGTTCATATCGGCCGATTTTCACTTAATATTATTTATTTTATTACAGTTTTACGCTTTCATATTATTCTCACAATAGTTTCTTACATATTTCATAGCTTTATATGCTGACTTTAATGCTTTCTTGACAAATTAACATTTTTTAAAGGTCGGAATCAGATTCGGCAGCTCGAAAACTACAAAAATATACCGTTTTACTTGCCGCTGCTTATTTTACTTATCGTCCTCCGCACACACTGTACTCGCGGATTAAATGAAGCAAACGACAAAAGCGTATTCGCGATATCAGAGACATACGGGTACGTCCGAACCTCCCGAATATCGACGGGGTTCAACGATCGAGATAGTATGCGAGATCTCACGTAATGCACCCGCAATTCCGCCGGTTTCCCCGATTCCACGGGAATCGACGAGGACATCAGCAGCGCGCGCGAGTCCGCGGCGCGGAAACTCGCGGCGGATCAAGCTGCTGGGGTCAACCCCCGTGGTGCACAAAGAGGACAGTACAAAACTAGCTTTAGCTAAAAAAAAAAGAAAAAAAGAAAAAACTGCCCTTCCGCTCGTGTTGTCGGTCGCGCTAGCTGTTGAACGCTGGTACGCGATTATTGCGTCACGTGAGTTTACGTAAAGCCTCGCGGCGAAAAAAGGGAGCCGAGCTGGAAGGTAGGCTACGTTCCGGGGATCGATGTCGCTGCGACGCAGAATTCCTACGTCGTGACGCTCCGCGTCGTCGTCGTCGGGACGATGTCGGCGCACGCGAAAGATGCGCGGACGGTGCGACGACGACGACGATTCGTGTTCCCGTGTATAATAATAAGTGCCGTTAGATTTAACCGCAAACCGCGCTGTGGAGAACTAGGAGGCACGGGACGGCCTTCTCGGACGGGTTCTTGCGTTTTGATTCGGTGCAATAAGAAGGCGTGTGCGTGTATAATTTAAGACGAAACTCCCCTCAGTTCCTAAATTTCGTGTAAAGCCGAAAATGCGAAAAACAGCGTGAAACAATTGAGCATGGTCGACGTGGCGGCGCGCGTTTCCAATCGTCGAGACTGCCGCTGACTTTGTCAGAAAAGTCGCATCATGGGAAAAAAAAAAAGAAGTCTTTCCGCGCCGAAGAATTTAGCGAAGATTAATTTTACAGTAATTTCTCGTACACACACGAGATATTGTCGAAAGATAATTAATACGTATACTTGTCGATGTGAAAGCGACGTGCTTACAGTTTCCGAGAGATAATGGCATCAACTACCGCGACGTAAGAATACGTCGAATCCGACAGCATCGATGAGATACAATGTGCAAAACAACGCGGCGCGTCCCACCTTTACCACGCTTTCATCGAATACGCAGACTATGACAACACCGTGCGCGCGCGAGGACGAATGTGAACTTAACGCGACCGAAAGGAAGAGAGTGCGTGTGTATGCGTGCATGTGCGTATGTATGTGTGTATGCTTGCGAGAGAGAGAGAGAGAGAGAGGACGAGAATGGTAAAAAGCGTAAAAAGTGTCCGTAGAATTTACTAGTGTTACTAGTCTCGGTGCAAGTCACCGGAGATCGATCGAACTCGTCGACTAAGCTGAGAGATCGATCCCCGAACGCCTGTACATATTGCACTGGGGCCCTCTAGCGTGTAAGTGGATCTGTGTAAAATACGATATTGTGATAAGAATGTAAAGAGAGAGGTACGAGGACGAAAGACAGATAAATCAAGAGAGAGGCCTAGCAAATCGTCTATATACATATAGGATATACACGGCAGACCCCGATTTAACGATTTTACCCAGGTATCCTTGTACGGATATAGAATATTACGAGAACTAAAATACCTTAATTATGATTACTATTGTATAAAATATAAATAATAACTAATTAATTCAATTTAAAACATCGCCTTGTGATATCTCGCTTGTGTTCCTATCCCGGCTATCCCCCCGTCCTCGAGCAAATCTTCTCGCGGTCGTGAATAATTCGATTTCCGTCGAATTGCGTCGTGAATGAGGAAAAGAGCGAGATAAGAAAGATACATAAAAGCCGCCGGATCGAGACGCGCCTCTGCGGTGAGATTAATGTGACGCTCGTCGTGTGTCTTCTCCCACGAATTACCGCATTTTCGCGTAATTAACGGACATTGACTCAATTATTCAATCACTCCCGAACGAACGAGTACTCTCTCCGCGCTCTCCCGATGGATGACGGTGTGCTGGCGAGCTCTTTTCCGCTCCTTCTCTCTTTGTTCAGCGACAGCCACCTGCCGCTCTAAAGCCAGCGTACGCACGCTCTACTTTTATGGATAACTGTACTCCTATCTTGCTCAAAGCGAAGGCACGTTGTATCCTGCATCTTCTCATGAGCCTCTACTCGATGTCTCGGAGAAAACATCTCAGAAGCGGGAACCGCGCGCGTTGCATGATTTTGCGGTGACTTTTCTCTAAGGAGAAAAAGTATCTTCAAGAAAATTCATACTCCTTCGTTTCGCGAATTATTTCGTACATTTCTTTCTTAGCATACATTTTCCTTTATATATTTCTTTCTCGTTTCTTGCCTATCAAACGGGGAAAATAGATTTAAGTAAAAGCCGCGTTAGCGAACTGAAATTAAATTACCTTAATTCGATAAATTCAATTCTTCGTTCTCTGACAAATTTATTCGAGGCTCATCTAGGAGGTCAGGAATTGCTGGGTAAAAGCGGCTTCGCTCCTCCGAGACCGGAGTATCTCTATTTCGAGGCCCGTCGTTCGCTACGCGCGACTAGATCTAGCCGTTCGTGCGGGAACTATGCGGCAGAAAAAGGTATGCCCCGGGAATGAATACCGCAGGGCCTTGTGAGCCGGTGGTTTCCAAACGTAAACTTATATATAGAGAAAAGAAAGAAAGAGGAAGAGAAAGGTGGAGGCCACCTCTCGGTATGACAATGCCGAAGAGTCTCTCGCTCGAGACTCACGGGAAACCTCGTGGCGAAAGAGAGAGGATGAGCAGACAAAAACCATATAATGGACACAATGCTCAATAAAGCTCGCTCGAGTCCTTCGGCTGGCGCCTACACTCGACCCGGTGAGTTTTCAAAAAGATTACGTCGAGTGGATGTTTATTTGCCTTCGGCTACCTCGAAGACGAACGACATCGTCAAACTCGATTCGATAAAACCATGCTTAACTTATCAATGCTCCACTTAATTCACGGAAGGAAAAATAGAAATAATGATTTTATCGCGAGATATCGGGATAAATATATTCACACATTTGTATCGAATTAGGGATGTCGATTAAACGTGACTAAACGCACCTTCGGAGAATAAGCGGTACATTTTCTACACGGTATCTTGTTCGAGCTGCGACGTCATTTGTTTACTCAGGAAAGTAGACAGAGGAGAGCCGTGTACGATCGATCCAGGACACTTTCTAGCTGTCGGCGCGCGCGCGCGCGCGCGCGGCAGATTTCGATAAAACTGGCAGATCTGGTCTAACGAGTCCGTCACTGCGCACTTCCAGCGTCATATTATCGCATTACGCGAAAGCCGTTAAACGGCAGACGCTCATATTTAGCACAGGTGTACTTATCCGCTATTGCACACAAGTATCTCCTCGCGATATAAGCGTGTTCCGATCTATTCTTGAACGATCGACGATAACGCGGTAAATTATCAGCCGATTGTTTCCGCAGATTTAATTTTGTTCCACCTCGTTACAGGCAGCCGAGATTCGTACCATTTATAGCAGCATTACCGTTTACGACCATAGTAATCTGTTCTGCACGTCAAACGTGTCATTTCGCGGTATATCGTAATGTTATTCACGCTGATCTCATTCTTACGCGCTGGTTTTATCGGAGGAATAAAAAAAAACGCGACACGTGGAAAGGAAGTAACAAGATGCGGAACACAATATTATCATAAGAGATATAAAGTTGCCCCTTTTTTTGTATTATGAAACGTTACCATTTTTGTTCATACGTTGCATATGTTAATAATATGATAAATATTCATGATAGTAATGACACGTTCGGAAGTATGACCTTTTCCTCCTTCTGGAACGAATCCAATTTCCGTTTTCCACGAAACACGAATGATTTGCTGCGAATTATTCATTGGACAGTCTCGCATTAACTTCGTAATATCGATGACTTTTATTTTCAGCATTGTAGAAAATCCTTTTCCGAGCGGCGATCAAGGGGAACGTGCAGCAACAGCACGCAATCACTACACACGAAAGCCAAAGTGCCCCAGAAATCCAGCGCCGCATACACGTTCCTCTTAACCTTCCCAATGTAAGTGTGGATAAGAACGCACGGACTTCGTGTAGTTCGCTTTATCGTGGCCGCAGATCGTGCCACCCGAGGGATTCGCCGCTCGACTGGAGTTGTCCGACTTTGAGCAATTAGCATTTAACCCACATCGAATTTCTTGCTCGCTGCTCCGCGAGCGATTCGTCCGCCAGACAATACGACTCTCGTGACCCGAGAGTTTGTGTTACGTCGATGACGTACGGAGTTTTCGTGTGCGAGACATTTTTTTTTATCCGGAGCAAGGAACAGCTCCTGGCTAATTACGATAATAATTATCGGTCGTGACCGAGATTAAAATTCCCGCCGAGCTAGGCGGAACGCGAGATCATGTTTTCGTCGCGAAACAATTGGGAGAATATTCGAGGATCCCGGGGGAAAGTTTGCATTTTTGCAGTCGTCAAATCTGACAAACTGTGCATTCATATTTATTAAATATCTTCTCTCTGTAACGTCACGCAAGCTTTCCTCTTATATTACCTTTTCGGTATTTTCAGCAACTCTCTCTCTCTCTCTTACGTGCAAATGTCATCGGTTACTTCATAAATCAATTAGAGCGGACGCGTAGCGCCATAAGAGAGAATAATATTACCGCGCAAGGGGTCAGGAAGAGACGAGGCTCGACCTCGTAAGACGGCCGACGATATTGAATAAACAAACGAACGAGTGGGAGGCGGCGGAAGTGGCGGAGATTAAGGTCTTCGTGACGGAACTTAGCTCGTATTATAGCGAGACGAGTGAGGATGTCTCCTAGTCTGGTCGATCTAATTCTATTATTTCGTTCTCTCTCTCCTTCCACTACCAACGACATTCCGCGTGCGCGTTGAGAATCATTGTTGGTCGAGCTGTTACAAGCCTATCTTGACGTGAAGTGTTTTAATTTATGTAGGTTAAATTAAAAGACACGCTTTTCTTAACTTTGTTCATAGAATCGTATCTTTAAAAATTGTGTTAAAACGAGCTATATAATCATATTAGAATACAAGAATTTATGCTGTAATCACTATCACAAATGCTGTCACATATTTAAGTCGTATAACTGTTTATTAAGTAAACATGGTATCTTTTTTTAATAGCCAAGTTTAATATATAAGAAAAAATGGTGCTATATTCGAGAATATTGTAATAAGCACAACGTGATATGTATTTTACGACATGTCTCTTTAAGTTCGACCGAACTGATTTTTTTGTTCAGCAACCCTTACAATCGCTTATATTAAAGTCCGTAAGAAAATAGCTTTATAACTGCAGAAATAATTTTACAAACGCATATATATCGATCGTCCTCATTTTGAAATCTAGTTTTCTCTCGTTAGAAAAATATGAAAGATTTCTCCGCATTAAAAATTAGTTCTTAAAGACGAACGTTACGCAACGGCTCGTGTAACGAAAGGTTGGCCGAACTTCTGTAGTTCCAGGTGGTGGACTTGCACGGTGCAGAATCACAAAGGTCGAAAGGAACCGGGCGCGGAACTCCGCCCAACATATCAGTTGTCTCATAAGGGTTGCAGGCAGGCGCGCGTGGCACATGAGTGCGCGTGCACAGTAACGGAACTTGTACAGTTCAGTATAGACGTGAGAGGGTAAATTCGTTAATATTAATGTGCTCTTACAGCGATCAAATATCAGATATCAAGCACGACACATCTTGTTTCCAAGAAATCGAGAGGGAAGACAGACTTGATAAAGCATCATCGCATGTTTATGCATATATAGAATATTTCACAAAAACTGTGCAAAAGTTAAATGAAAATGTTGCTTTGTTGTTGAAAATATTCAGTATTTACATATACGAGTACAAGATGACTCGAGGTAAACGTGACGTCATTAAGAGCGCGCATGACACGTTATATTCGTTTGTCGATTCCGCTGAACGTATTTTATTTTTCGGTATATTTATAACCGCTATTAAAATAATTAAGCTATTAAAATAATTAAGAAATCGTATGCTATTAACGCTCATTAAGAAACCGGCGATAATTTTATTGACTGTCGCCAGGTTCTTTTTAATACATCGAATCCCCATCTGCGTGTTTTTATCATCTAATGAAGCGATTAATATACGAACTCTAAACTTCTTTTTATATAAAAGTATATGTATATATTGGTAATTATTTTCTTTATTTTACATGCAAACGTTTCATATTTCTTAATCAAAAAGGATTTTGTCCATTATTCATTATTAATTAAGCAGTCTAAACATCTAAAACAAAATGAAGAATATGATAAAAATGAAAAAAATATGAAAAAAAAAGGAATATGATAATCCTTCTAAAACAAAATAAAGAATATGATGAAAAAGTAAATTTTAAAATCGAGATCGATCGATTCCATCCGCGTGCAAATTAAGCACAAGATTCGGCGTATTATTACTTCAATAGCCCAAATGCCCAGGCTTGCTGTAACTTTATAAAGTCAAGTAAAAGTACTTTTGAAAGGTTCCTTTGAATCCTTGGCAATGAGAGAGGATCAAAGGATTAACGTGCAAATCTCGAGGATGCGGCCAACTCTCTCGAAAGTTTGGAACGACACGAGCCTAACGT